TGTTATGTGTAGAGCTTGATAATCAGTAGATGCTTGTGAATCAGCTTAAATATAATTATAAACATCTATTTGAAATTTAATTTTTCAGTACTTTCACCAAATTGTAACACTTCCCTGAAGGCTTTAGTTTCATTTCCTTTAGCCTATGCACTAAAACTCTTGTGGTTGTTTAGAGGTAAGCGTCTCTCCTTGTCTCAGTCTACTGTGTTTTTTTTTTTTTTTTTTCTTTTGTGGTGCAGGGGATTGAACCCAGGGCCTTGTGCATGCAAGGCAAGCACTCTGCCAACTGAACTATATCCCCAGCCCAGTCTATTTCTTTTATATACCACTTCAGTCAAGTTTAATTACCTGGTTTTGAAATCCTTGCTTAATAAACTACAATTTAGAAGGAGGACACATTGCCAGCCTGACTGCTAGAAGAGAAACATCTTAAAAATGTTTAGCTCCAAAGCACAATGGACCCATAGATGTTTAACATCAAAATAGCTTCCTGTACAGTTCAGTCAGACATTTTATTTATTTATTTTTAAACTACATAAGACATATATCACTGAGGTATATAAGCCCTAAGTCTTTAAAATATATGAGGAAACTGTCTAGTGTTACATGTTTAATAAAATAGGAGGAATTCATGGCTTTTAGATAAATCAAAATCATATAATAGTACCCCGAAGGATATGCTTGGGTATACTTTGATATCTAGGGAACTTAACCTTCCAAGTCAGTTTATATTCCATGTGGTTGAGATTTAGATTTAAAATAAGATTTGACTTACTATATGTAAATATATTATTTAATTTATATAGAGAATTATTCCCAAATGGAAGAGGTTATTCTGAGTTCATCAGTATGATAATACTAATAAGAGATTATTAATTAGTTGCTTCCGTAGTATAACTGGGATAACACTTTTGTCAGTATAATTGTGACTCTTTGGGTTCTAATTTTGTTAGTCTCCAGACTATATGGAACTATATCCCCAGTCCTTTTTGAGACAGTGTCTAAGTTGCTGTGATTGGCCTTGAACTTGGGATCTTTCTGCCTCAGCCTCCCAAGTAGCAGAGATTACAGGTTTCTGCCACTGCACTCAGCATGAAGCTTTCTTTTTTAAAAATTGACTTTCAATTTTTATTGTTATAATTTACTTAATATAAAAAGTTCTTAAAAAGCAACAAGACAGTGTTTTCTACTCCCCAAGACATCAACTTTCAACTTTGAAGATTCTCACTTCTGTATCATTAAATGACTTGCTTTAGTTTGCTGTTTTAGTGTTTCTTTGTCCATTTTCTGGTCTGTAGACACGTTGTTACTCTTTCCTTTTATAGTTTTATTGTAATTATTACATCCTGTTCTAATTCTATTATAATTATTTATTCAATTTTTTTATAGTTATAATTTAGATTAAATCAATAATTCTTACCTGGATATTCTCAATTAAGCCATATATACTATTACTATTAACTATTTTTCTAGCATAATTTTTTTTTAATTGGAGATTTTTCTTCATTGGAGATTTTTTTTTTTTACTTGTCACTTGTTTTGTTTCCCAGTTTGCCTTGATGTGTGTCACTTTCTTAATATGTTTGAACATATTAGGTATTCATTCTTGGGAATGTCTTCTATTTTGGTATGTTGCAGTTTGAATCGGTTTACTCTCCAGGGTTACTAGGTTGTATCATTTTTTTTTTAGTATTTATATTTTTGGTTGTAGTTGGTCACAATACCTTTATTTTATTTTATGTGGTGCTGAGGATCGAACCCAGGGCCTTGCTAGGCAAGCACTCTACCACTGAGCCACAATCCCAGCCCCTAGTTTATATCATTTCACAGGTGCTTTTTTTGTGTGTTAATTCTTTTTTTTTTTTTTTTTTGGTAATACTGGGACTGGTTGCAGAGCCTTGTGCATACTAGGCAAGTGCCCTACTACTACATCCCAAGCCCTATTTTACTTCTTTCTTGATTTTTATCACCTTCTAAGTATCTTAGAAAGGGTATGTGAGAGAATTTTGGGAGATTTTGTGTGTTTTTCACACTGAACTTGTAAATTCACTAAGTATATTTTGGAAATAATTTTTCCTTGGGATCATGAAGGGATTGACTCATTGTTTTCTGTCTTCCAAATGTTGAGAAATGCAATACTATTCTAATTATTATTCCCTTTTTCTTACTATAAATAGGAGTTGTTTGGATGTTGGACTTCCTGAATCAGTCTCCTAATGTTCTCATTTTTACTTTTCTATTTTTCATCTTCTTCCATCTGGGAAGAGTTCCTCAAGTGTATTTTAAAAACTATTTTAAAATAGTTTTTTTGTTTCAAAATTCCTCCTTTGACATCAACTGAAGACTCTCAATTCTTGGTTGTTTGCTCTTTTTAGAGAGTGGGACATAAAAAGCTGATTGAAAAGGCTTTTGGATGGCAGGTGGTGCTTATTTATGTGTTTTTCAATCTGCTGTGATCTGGCTGGGCTATTACACCGGAAAGTCTAGTACTGGTAGCTAGGTATTTTTCTCTTACATAGATCAGATTTCCTCAAGGCATATAATCTCTTACTCAAGGACAAGCCAGGCTATCAGTTTTCTGGGAGTAGGGAAAAAAAGCCTATAGTCTCAATTTTCAGTGTTTACAATTAAAATTAATTCCTCTGTGTTCAGTTAAGGTACCTAAAAGCTTTTAACTGTCCTTATTTATTTCCAGTTCAAATACCACATAATTACTAAGTCTTGACCCAGCTTTGGAGAGAAGCAGTTCTTTTAGGTAGAAGTCTATTTGCTTCTTATAAAGTCTTTCTACCTACCCTCTTTTTGCCCCACTTTCACCTCCACATTCAGAGTTGCCTGGTGTCACCAATTCAAGTTGAGGCTTTTAGGATTTCTGAGATGTAAATCGTTGCTTTATTGCATTCTTATTGCCAGTTTTGGGTTTCATCTTTATTTCATTTAAGTTAGTTACCTTCCATGTCAAGGCTTTCCAAAATTGTTTTATACTCATTCTTAGAGGTTACTGTCTTCTAAAAATTTATCTTTTACTATTTTGTTAGTCATTTCCAAAGGGCACAGAGGCAATTCTTTCTCATATATGCTGTATTTAACTGATGTTGTGTTTTTTCAGGAAAAATTTGAATTCTACCCAGGCACACTGGAACTGGTAGAGATCCTTCTCTTCTTATCTTTGTTTTCAGCACACAGAGAGGAAATCAGGGAGGATGGAGTAAACTAGAAAACATTACATGAAATCTAAATTGATATCATGGTTCAAAACTTCACACCCAAGCATTTGCAGTTTGTCCCCGACTTTGCTTTTTTAAAACAGATGTATGCATTCTTTTATGTGTAATATATTTTACTCCATTACTAGTATTGCAAGTTATCTTGAATGTATTTGGCTTGATTTTGAAGAAGGGGGGAATTTAATGTACTTGCCTATGCCTTCAATTCTCAGTCTACTGCAGGGGAATACCCATTTCAGTTTTTCCTGGCTTATTTTGTTCTCAAATCCCTTTCTTTGGAATTTTCTTCTCTTTAAATTGGTTACTTTAAAAATTTTGCATTGTAAAATTTATACTGGCTTTTACTTGCCCGTTTTTTACACATTAAGAACAAGAAAGTTGCTCGAACTAAGCTAGGCAGATGGTCTCATCCTTCAAAGTTAAGGCTGAATTAAAGTATTGTTTTGAAGTCTATTCACCCACAAGGCAAAACTGGTTATCCTGATATTACCTCAGATTCTCCCCAGATTACTTTATTCCAGTACTCTTCCACCTCCCTTAATGTGTGGCCACTTTTGATGGCTCTCCCCTCCAACACAAAACCCCTCTTCACCACAGCTGTTGATAGTAGGCACTCGGTCCCGCATTCCAAAGTTGAGAAATCTGGAGCCTCCTTGGTCTTTTCGGGCTGCCAGGCCAGGTGCTCAGAGGTCACAGGCTGGTGGGTTTCCGTAGGCAATTTATGGCCTTTCCAGGCCCAGAGTGGCCGGGAACAAAGCGGGGACCACCGCCAGGAGGCGCAGCCCATGGTGGGCGTGCTGTGGGGATGGAGGCGTCGGCCCTGCCCCAGAGCGCCCCAAGCCGCGCAGCGGAGCCCCACACACCGAATGTCATTTCACACAGACCAAGAGATCAATTCGCTGGTCGGTTCGTCAATCTTTTCAGCTAGGATCTGCTCCACACCTCCAAGGAACCCAGGCTAGACCAGCTCAGAACTGGCAAGAGGGATTACACCGCTCAGGTGTTTTGAGCCGCCAATCTTCAGAGGGACGCGGGAACGCGCGTCGTCCTGCTTTACGGCAAGGGTGCGCGCGTTTGCGGCAGCGTGACGCAAACAAATTTTGGCGGGAAAAGCGCTGCATTTGGATTCCTGTGGTGGCGGGCAAAGGACAGCTTGGTGAGGAGGGGCGGCCGGTAGGGCGAAAAAGGGGTCTGGAGAAGGAGTTAGGAGTCTAGTGAGGAGGAGCACGGTGAGATAATGGTACTATTGAGCGGAGGGGATGGGAGATCCTCCAGCGGAGGGGCGGTTTTGGAGAGTGGAGGAGTGTGGTACCTCGGGGTCCTCATTGTAAAGGGTGTGGGGGGAAGGGGAGGCTACCTTTCTGCTAGCTGGGGACCTCAGAAGTTTGGGCGCCTCCTGGGTCCCAGCCCTTCCTTCCGCTTCTACGGGAAGTTTGGCCCCGCCCCGGGCTCCTCCCGGCCTTTGGGACGGGTGGGGTGGGGGTGGGAATTGGAACTGTGCAAGTGGGGAGGAGGGGCTGCAGTAGCTGCAGTTATTCCAACCCCTCTTCTAGCCCACATCCCCTTACTCTCTTCCCCAGACTCCCACCACTTCTACCCGCTTCCCCAGTCATTCACCCGAAAGCATCCGTCTTCCCACTTCTCACCGCAACTTTTAAATTTCCCGTGAGGCCTGAGGAGGGCAGAGTTTCAGCCCTCGGTGTGCAAGGGAATGGGGATTGCGATTTCGGCAATCAAATGCCTAAACTTAGAATACTTGTTTGGGGTTTAAAGACTTGGATACATGTGAATGAGATGTAAGGGGAAACCAAGCTGTTGTGAGGGATCATGGCAGGAAGCAGAGCGCGGTGGCTTTACAGGTGATCTGAGCTTATGCTCGTTCCTTATTTTTCGGGTTCCTGCGTTTTACAGCCGTGGTGCTCTGTGGAGTCATGGCAGTGCCCTTTGTGGAAGACTGGGACTTGGTGCAAACCCTAGGAGAAGGTGCCTATGGAGAGTGAGTTTGAATCCGAATATTATCTTGCTTTCACGCTTGCTTTAGTTTTCTATTGTTTTGTCTTAGTATGTATTTGTTGTTTTGGGCTTGTTTTTTCCAATACGTGGCGCTTTAGAGATCAGATCTTTGCAAACCAAGGCTTTTAGCAAGTGAAATTGCACAATTTTTGTAAGGATTAATATTTCTGATTATTTTTGCATTTTTTCTTTTTCTTTATCAAGAGCTGCAAAAGATCTGTTGAGATTATTGTTTCCTCAAACAACCACATAGTCTTGGGCTTTAAGAATAGTGGCTAAATGAGCAGACTTTGGGGATGGCCTGCCTGGTTTCAGATCTTAAATCTGTCGCATACTGGGCTTGTTTTGTGGACTTAGATGAGCATCCCAATGTTGTATGTCTCCGTTTTCCTCATTTATATAAGATGAGAATAACAGTACCTACTCCAAAGGTGCTTAGTACTTTTATCACAGTCATATGTAGCATGAGATTAATAAATGTTAGGTAATGATATTAAAATTATGTGAATAGAACTAGTATATATGTGAACTAGAATTGCTATTATCCCAATTTAGCTTACTTTATCAAGCATTTTTTAAATGACTTGCATGTACAGCATAATGACTTCTTTGGAGTAATAGCCATAGTAATTCACCTTTCAGAAAGGACCAGTATCTGTTGAAAATATGGCAGAAACCATTTCCTTGGTTTCCTTGGTGGAGAAAGTAGTAAAGATAAAAACAATTTTGGATTTGTCATGTTTAATCTTTTGAAGCTCTAAAAGAGAATTCAAAAATCTACAATGTTATAACTCTTGTTTTCCTTTTTTTTTAGAGTTCAACTTGCTGTGAATAGAATAACAGAAGAAGCAGTTGCAGTGAAGATTGTAGATATGAAGCGTGCCATAGATTGTCCAGAAAACATTAAGAAAGAGATCTGTATCAATAAAATGTTAAATCATGAAAATGTAGTGAAATTCTACGGTCACAGGAGAGAAGGAAATATCCAGTATCTATTTCTGGAGTACTGTAGTGGGGGAGAGCTTTTTGATAGAATAGGTATGGAAACAATTTAAGATATTTATTCTACTGAATAAGTTTCTAAGTTTGTTTTGTTTGTTTTTTAATATTGAATAGCTAGTCCCTCATTTTCCCCTTAAGTTTTTCCAATATTGAAATTGAAGTAAAAATTCCTTTTTTTTTTCTGGCTAATTTTACTAATATATGAAAACATATAGTATCAATGAAAGAAAACTGTCCTTAAGTTATAAGTAATTTTTTCAGGATTGCTGTATTATGTAATTTAAAATGATAAGCTGTGGTTTGATGATGAAGTATGAATACATAATAAGCTGAGCTCAGTGGCACATGTTGTAATCCCAGTTACTCAGGAAGCAGAGGCAGGAAGATGGCAAGTTCAAGGCCAGATTATGCAACCTTGCAAGACCCTGTTTAAAAGAATAAAACCCAGTATCACAAAATAAATTAATAAAACAATAAAAAGGACTGCAGATCTAGCTCATTGATAGAGTGCCCCTGGGTTCAATCTTCAGTACCACAAAAACAAAACAACAAAAACCAATGTATTGTTTGCCTGTACAGTGTTTTTCTTTGTAGATATTCTGTTTACATGATTATTGCATACATTTACAGGTCCAAAATAATATCATTGTTATTTTTCCCCCTTATTTGTTGAAGTGAAATTATGGCTTTATATACATATCAAGTAAATTGTTTGCTACTTAAGTGTTCTGTGCAAACTCAAATGATTGATGTTGCAAAATGCTAAGAAGTACGTAAAATATATGCTGTGGGTCTAAGTTTATTATTTGAAACTATTTTATTAGTAGTTAAAAACTGCTTATTTAAATCTCTAATGGGAATCTCAGGAGAGAACTGAGGGCAAAAGAAATCATGAGTTAGTGAGAAATGAAAATATAAAAGGTAAAAGATAACTGATAATAGAAGCTCTCTTAATAAGACTGTTTCCTGAAGGAACTTTGTAAACATTCAGTGTAAGGGATTTTATAAAGTTTAAATCTGTTAAAAAATTTAGTGAAATAGGTTTAGATTGTTTTAGGCATTCACATTGACAATTATATTTCAGAAATGGGAAAAATACTAACAGCATTTAGAAACAATAGGGCAGAATTTAAAAGATACCAAGTAAATATTAATGTAAGAGTAAAATAGGAGCTTTCATAGCATGTATTATGTTCCTGATTTGGATGATAGCTTTATTTCTTTGTAATGTTCCTATGATAGTAGTTTGTTTTTGCTCTTTAACAGATTGGAAAATCTTGCTTATTAAGTACTGTATTGTTAAATGTACTTAATCTTTCACTAGTATAAGATTGCTAAATTATAATCACAAATGTCTAAAATCAGATTAAGAAACTATATGTTCAATGCCTGGTTGTATTTATCTAATAAACTAACTTTTGTAATTAATTCTTACAGAACCAGACATAGGTATGCCTGAACAAGATGCTCAGAGATTTTTTCATCAACTCATGGCAGGGGTGGTAGGTGTATATATCTTTTCCTTTTATTTAAAATTAGTACAAATAATAAGTTGCTAAATTCTGGTGTGTTCCTCTATTTCCCTGTAGGTTTATCTTCATGGCATTGGAATAACTCACAGGGACATTAAACCAGAAAATCTCCTTTTGGACGAAAGGGGTAAGTTTAATATTTTGTTACTACTAATTTTAAGACAGCCATGATAGATGTATATCTATAGATGTATAGACCATGACGAAAATCTGAGAAGCCAAGGAAATTTGGGAGACTTGGTATATTTGGAATTCAAGTTTTTCATGATATAGTTGTGGATGAGAAGTCTTCCCTAGATCCAGGGTAGTTTGCTAAAGATGAATAAAAATAAGAATGCTTGAAAACAACTTTTTAAATGAATTAATAAAGGTAAGCTTCTATTGTAATACCTGAGACTTTAGCCATGAACTGTTCACCCTTTTTATCTATGACTTGCATAATATGCAAGAATTTTAGGTTTTTTTGTTGTTGTTGTTGTTTTTTTTTAATGGATGTCATAAAACTGAGGGGATGGATAGTGAAAATGTTATTTTACGGAGTCAGGACCAAAAAGATGAGGCAGTGATTTATGTCTGTTATGTTTAAGGCTGTATTCCTAACATTAGAGTAGTTCCTTGCAAATAGTAGATTTTTAAAAATAACCATTAAATAAATTAATCTAGCAGACTAGAGAGGTGGGCTGAATCTTAACAAGTTATTTTTTAATAGGAAAAGATCTGAAGTCTATTATTTGGATTGAAAAAAATTAACCAAGCATAATTAAATAGCTTGTTCTTGGCAGTTAACAGTTTTTAAAAGACATTTACCGGGCATTAAACTTGGTATTAGTCACCTGTGTGATTTGTTCACCGTATGTAAGAAAACTAAGTTGATATAGTGCCCGGAATGAGGAAAATAGTGGTCCAGTATTACTCTGGTGAGACTTCTCTGGAAATAGTGTTTCCCGGGGCCACATTGTAAGAGATGTATAGACCACTGATGTACTTTTATAGGAAAGTGAACAAATGAAGAGCTGTGAACTATGCAAAATAAGAAATTATTGCGGGAACTCAGGGAAACTTGCTAATTGTTAAATATGGTTCTTCAGAACCTGTGGGTGAAAACTGTTTAGAAGTAATTTGAATTAGCACAGGGATGATGTTCAGCAATGGATCTGTGCAAAAAAAGCATGGGTTGCTTTGACATGTAGTGAGTTTATAACATTGAACAGTGGAGTATTAATTATCAAGGATATTATAAAGGGAATTTAAACATTGCTTGTCTAACACTGTGCTTAAGTTATTTAGCTTTCTACAAGTCATTTCACAAGTCATATAGCAGTATTTTAGATATTCAGAAAATTTAGTGTATGATAAAAAGGAAACTTTGGATGATTTGTTGATGAATCCTGAGAGGTGAGCACACAGCACAATCTGAGGATTCTCATGCTTCTGTTTTCATGCTGTTCCCATTACTTGCTGAATGGTAATAGCCTTGATGATGTTAAATTCCATTCCTCCCCTTCCTCATACAAAGCAAGTCCTTTTTGAATTAAATGCAGGTTTCAAGATACACAAAACACCCTGGAAAAGGATTACGTGTCTCTAAATATGAAAGGCAATATAGGATAGTGTTAAGAGCTTGAACTTTGGAGTCATTTGAACCTAGGTTTAATCTAGGCCACTTCATTCTAGACATGTGGCCTTAGGTAAGTTGCTTAACTTCTCTCTGCCTCACTTTTCTTATTTATAAAATGGGGATAATAGGAGAATCTATCTGAGTTATGAGGATAAAGGATACAAACATCATGTGTTTTTGTAGAAGTATGTACCTGGAATGTATAAAACAGGTATTTATACCTATGTTATACATATACACATACATTTTAAAAATGCATAAATGGGGGGTTGTGGCTCAGTGGTGGAGTGCTTGCCTTGCATGTGTGAGACACTGGGTTCAATCCTTAGCACTACATAAAATAAATAAATAAAGGTACTGTGTCCGTCTACAACTAAAAAGAAGTGTATTACAAAAAATGCACACGTGTGTGTTTTTGTTATAAATAGTAGGTACCTATTATATAGTTGATGCTGAAAAAAATGGTAGCTATTATTACTATGTAAAATTAATTTACATTAAAGCATAGGTTATATGCTTTTTTCCTATGTGCATGTGGGTTTCATTTTTTTACCCTTTTAAGCTGTGTTTATGTAGTATAAAAAGTAATTTTATTTAAAACTTAATTCAGGTGCCCTCAAATTTTCATAATATAAATTACATATTATGATAAAGTGTAATGAACACCTGTCTGCCTACCTGGCTTAAAAATAAATTAGTACTTATAAGAATGCTCACAGGTCTGTTGTTTAATAGAAAAATTGCAAACAACTCACAGGTCTATCAGCAATAAGAAAGTCTGAAATGGATAATTTGTAGCTACAAACAATGACATAGCTGGATTTCAAGAATATAAGGCCATAGAGCAAAAAAATAAACTAAAAGAATTGATACGCTCTTTTTATATGAAATTAAAAAATATATAAAACCAATTATATTGTTGAAGTATGCAAACAGGGCAAAACATGAAAACAAGCAAGGGCACAATAAAATTCAGAATGGTGGGTGTCAGAAGGTAGGAGAGGGAATGGGTGTGTCCTTTTTCTTGGGTGTTAGGTGAGTGGTATTGTTCTTGTATAATATGTATTTTGTTTCTGTCCAGTATATAACTAATAATCGTTTAAAACAGAAATACAATGTTACCAGTATTTGAAGTCTTTCTGTATTCACTCACAAATATACTCTTCCTTTATTTTTGTCAGAACTATACTTGTAAATTTTGAATATATGACTTGTATTTCTCTAATCTAACTGAGTATTAGATTGCAAACAAAATAAAACAACAAAATTCAAGATAATCTATTAGTATTTTATGATAATCTGTTAGTATTTTAATTGATTACCACTTGGAACTCAGTCTCAGTGATTTGTCCAAATTGTGCCATAGATAGCTATTAAAAAAATATAGCTGGGCATAGTGTCATGTCACTCGTAATCCTAGTGGCTCTGAAGACTGAGGCAGGAGAATCTTGAGTTCAAAGCCAGCTTCAGCAACAGCAAGGTGATAAAGTAACTCAGTGAGACCCTGTCTCTAAATAAAATACAAAATAGGGCTGGGAATGTGGCTCAGTGTTCCAGTGTCCCTGGGTTCAATCTCAGGTATCCCCCACCCCCTCCAAAGAAAATCACAGTATTTACCTCCTGGAGTCAAATACAAGTAAGTATTAATGGCTTACATTAAATTGGGTATATGTGCTTGATTTTTAAAGAACCGAAGAATAGAGAAATGATGACTGTTACATAACTGTGCATACGCTTAGTACAAAAATTGGATCATGTTATAATTTTTGCTATAACACTAGCCTATTCCCCACTTATATCCTGTTCCATATTAGTACACCTTGTTTTTCTTTTTTTTTTCTTAATAACTACTTATTGTATACATGTTTTATAAGCTTTTACCATTTATGGTGTGCATTTAAGTTATTTACAAATAACGTTGCTACAAATATCCTTGTTTGTGATGTTATGAGACTATTTCTGTGGATATGTTCCTAGAAGTGGGTATTACTAGCTGAAAGAGAAAATTTTTTTTGAATCTTTGGCTGGATTGCCCTCTGAAAAACTTATAACCATTGACAACCTCTAATAACAGAGGGCCTTCCCAAGCTCCTAAGACTAGGATAGAACCCTTTTCTGTAAGATCCTGTCATGTTCTATATTTTTATAACTTTCTTGGCCATTACCTATTGTTAGTCTACCTCATTGATTTGTTCACTACCTGCGTTGGCTCGCACAGTGTCTGTTATGTGGATACAGTAGACATTCACTAAGTGTAAAAGTCCTACCTGCAGTTTTTATGTGCTGGAGATGGGAAGATTAGCGTGGAAGTTTTTTTTTGTACAGTTCCTCCTCTTATTTTCTCAACATAGCTACTTCGACAAGAAGTTCTCATGGATTCTGGATCTTTATAGTTTGTTATGTCTTTACATATATATTCTTCTTGCCAATTGATTTTGTTTGCTGCTGAGAGTGTGCCTCCTATTTTACTATGTCTCATTCTTGCCTTCTATACCACTCATTGAAGGGCTTTTCTCTGCTTTCAGCCCAAGTTTGGAGTGTTCTTTACCAGAAGAATAGCCCCTTTTAACTCCAGTATCTTTCTTTAACCTGGTCCAAACTGTTTGGTGTGTTGGTGACAGTTTTCTTAAGTTAATATCAAAGATGAGGGCCTTTTCCAAGTTTAGCGTAGATGATTATGTCTTTAATTTTTCTTAAAAAAAAATTTTTGTTGTTGTTTATTTTGGTCAAGTTAAGGTAGAGAAATTCTACAAATCAGGTAATGTAGTCAATAAAACTTAATTCTAATATATCTATTTGCAAATTGTTTTTATCCAGTGCCATTCTTTTTTTTTTTTTTTTTCTTTTGGTTTAGATAACCTCAAAATCTCTGACTTTGGCTTGGCAACAGTGTTTCGGCATAATAACCGTGAACGTTTATTGAACAAGATGTGTGGTACTTTACCTTATGTTGCTCCAGAACTTCTGAAGAGAAAAGAATTTCATGCAGAACCAGTTGATGTTTGGTCCTGTGGAATAGTGCTTACTGCAATGTTGGCTGGAGGTAATAGTTATTTAGTCATGATAAAACTTTTGGTTTATGACTTTGTGGGTTGGTGCAATACTTGTAATCCCTCTGGAAGGCTAAGGCAGGAAGATTGCAAGTTTGAGGTCAGTCTCATCAACTTAGTGAAATTGTGTCTCAAAATTAACAAACAAATGATCTGTGGATGTGACTCAATGGTTAAGCACCCCTAGGTTCAATCCCTGTTACCAAAATGAACAAACAAAAAACTTCTGGCTTATGGAAAGTCAGATTTCCTATACCAAAATAAATTAAATAAACCAACGGAGTTTGTGTTTATGTAATAGTATTTTAATACTGTCTTAATCAGTTTGGGTTGCTATAACAAAGTACCGTAGACTGGGTGGCTTATAAATAGCAAAGATTTATTTCTCACAAAGCCTGGAATGAAGGTGCCAGCATATTCTGGTAAGGATTCTCTTCTTGGCTTTCAAGTAACCAGCTGATTATGTCCTCATATGATGCAGAGCAGAGAGAACAGAAGCTCTCTGTGTTTTCATAACAACAATGATCCCATGAGGATCATGAGGGATCCTACCCTCATGAACCCAATCCCTGCCCAAAAAGAGCTGACCTCTAAGTACCATCACCTTGTGGGTTAGAATTTCAACATGAATTTTGAGGTGGAAACAAATATTTAATCACTGCAAGTAGTAACTTATCCATAACTAACTTGTAATCCCCAAAGTTTTTAAAAATGTGGTATGTGTATCTATTAAATGAAAAGTCAAAATAGCTATCTCTTTAAAAGTCATGTAAATATTTTTTGGTGATACTAGGGATTAAACCCAGAACTTCACACATGGTAGGCAATCACTACCACTGAAGAACATTCCCAGACCTTTTTTAATATTTTATCTTGAGACAGGGTCTCTTTAAATTGCCAGTCTGGCCTTGAATTTGTGATGCTGCTTCAGCCTTCCTAGTAGCTGGGATTATAGGCTTATGCCACTGTGCCATGCTTCATGTAAGTACTTTTGAAAGAGTAGGATAAGAAGTGGCTCGTCTTTTCTTTAAAGTGCCTGTGAAGCTTCTACAAAACTTCTTTTCCCATTTTGTAAGACATTGAGTTAATCTGAAGGAAACTTTGTATGGATTTGTAATGATTATTTTTCCTTGAAATTTTTACAGTATAATTTTGTTAATATGAGGGAATTGTAACTTGTTTTATTTTAGAATTGCCATGGGACCAGCCCAGTGACAGTTGCCAGGAATATTCTGATTGGAAAGAAAAAAAGACATACCTCAACCCTTGGAAAAAAATTGATTCTGCTCCTCTAGGTAATTGGGTTATCTTGATTGATACAGATTTCTTAGATTTAAGTCTTGTGGTATTTGAATTTTTCTTAACATTTTTTTTTTTATAACTTTTTTTTTTTTTTTATTGTGGTGTTGGGTATTGAACCTAGGGCCTTGTGTATGCGAAGCAGGCACTCTACCAACTAAACTATATCCCCCAGCCCCTCTGTTATAACATTTTAATAATTAAATAAATAACCCATGATCCTTGTAAGTTAGGAAATATAAATAAAAATGGAAAAAAGCCTATAATTCCTTCACTTAGATATAGCATTTTAAAGATATTCTGTGTGCTTCTGTGCTTTGCTGTAAATACTTTTAATGTTTATTACATAAGTTTATATATATATATATATATATATATATATATATATATAAAATCAAAAGTTAGATCATACTACAAATAATATTTCATGACTTGTTCTTTGGTTTTAATATTCTTTGAAAATTTTTCCTTGCCTGTAATTGTAGATCTGTGTCATTGTTTTTAAAGGCTTGATGATATTCTGCTACATGGATGTGCTTTACTCATTCATTAGAAATTTATTTTGTAAATTTTTACTGTTTTAAAACAGATCTGAGCTGGGCGTGGTGGCTCATGCCTATAATCCCAATGGTTTGAGAGCCGGGGCAGGAGGATTGTGAGTTCAAAGCCAGTCTCAGCAAAAGTGAGGTGCTAAGCAACTCAGTGAGACCCTGTCTCTAAATAAAATACAAAATAGGGCTGGGGATGTGGCTCAGTGGTCAAATGCCCTGAGTTCAATCCCTGGTACCAAAAAACAAACACACACACACATATGATAAGCATCCATGTAACTTAATCTTCACACATATCCTTAAATTATTTATATAAAATAAACCTCCATAAACAAAATTGCAGGGTCAAGGATGTATGTAGATTTGTAAGTACTGAATATTATTTTTCTAAATTGCTTTTCAAAAAGTTTATACTATTACAACAGAGTTTTATTTTTATTTTAAATTTAATATTAATGAAGTTTGAACCCTTTTGTCAGTTTTGCTCAGTGTTAGCAAGGAGATTTTCTTACCCTTGAAGGACTTTTCCCAGGGGTGCTCTACCACTGAGCTATATCCCCAACCCTTCTTATTTTCTATTTTGAAACAGGGTCTTTCTGAATTGTCCAGGCTGGCCTCAAACCTGTCATCCTCCTGCCTCAGGCTTCTTAGTCAAGGGTTACAGACATGAATCATCACATCCAGCTTTGACCTTTGCATTTGTTACAAATATTTTCTACAATTTATCACTTATTTCTATTTCATTTGATATTTTGACATGTAGAAAATTTTTTATTTTCAAATCTATAATCTAGTCATTTGTGATATCTCACTACATTGTCATATTTGGAAAGGTTTTTTCCTATGTCTACTGCTTTTTAAAAAGTCCCTTATGTTTTCATGGCTTCATTTTTACATTTAAATCTTTGGTCCATTAGAAAATAATTTTAATGTTAGGAAATGTATAACTTATTTGTCAAAATAATTAAGATTCCTTAGGATAATGGTTGGTTATATTACTCTCTTTAAAAAGTTGTTCATAAGTAAACACATAAAACTGTGCAAATGAGGAAGTAACATGAGAACATGATATGCTGAGTGATGAAATTTTGTGTTAAAAAATGGATAGAAGATTTCTTTGTATCTTTTTGTTAATGCCACATGGGGAAAAACATTTCTTTCAGACTCTTATTCTGCTTATTTGCAAATAATTGAGAATTAGATCTAGGAAGAATTTTCTAAAGTGTAGACAACAGCAAAGAAAAACTATATGAACTTAAATCAGTATTGAGTAACTTTATTCTTTCCCTTCTCCAGAAATAATATTTAGACATAAGAAGGCTAAAAGAGAATGTGTTCTTTAATCCTAAGTTGTAGGCTTTTCTAATATGTATGACTTTTTGTAAATATTGCTTTAATATTTTGCTTTCAGCTCTGCTGCATAAAATTCTAGTTGAGAATCCATCAGTAAGGATTACCATCCCAGACATCAAAAAAGACAGATGGTACAACAAGCCACTCAAGAAAGGTATTAGTTTTAATATATAAACATTTTCTCTGTGAAAGCATGAAAATTCACTATCATAAGTGAACAATACAAGATAGCTGGGGTCTCTTTCCTCATGGAGATTATTATGTCTAATAGGGAGAACAAGTATAAAAAGTAGTTTTGTTTATTAATAACTACAAAGGGGAAAATTGGAGTGCTGTAGCCCATTGTTTGAACAAATGTTAAGGGACAGTGAAGACTTTTTTTCCTGAGGAAAAGACATGAAATTAAAGAGAAGTTAAACAGGCAAGTTGAGTGTCAGATCTGATTCTAAGCAGAGGGAGCAGCATTAGGAAAGTCTTAGTTTAGAAAGTCTGGTGCATTTGAGGAACTTTAAACAAGGATAGTGTGGCATGGGCCTTGTCTGTCTTCATCCTTGTGTTAACAATCATTAGCACAGTGCAAGGCATGTTGCAGGCACTTGGTAAATTTGAGTAAATGAGTAGGGAAGTGGGAGAGGGAGAGATGACGCTGGAGAGGCAGATAGCAGCCAAGATATGAGAATGAGGCCTTGTGATCTATTTTAAGTATTTTGGACCCTAGCTTAAAGCCATTAGGGTCATATATTTGGTTTTAAAAGATCCTTTGGTTTTTTGGTTTTAAAAGAGCTACTCTTTTTCATTGTTTTTGATGAATAGAAATAGGCTAAGGGTAGTAGATTAGATGGGAGAAGATGGTAGTTTGGAATAGGTTAGTTGTAATGGTATTAGAGAAGAGAGGTGGATTCCAAAGAAATTTAAGAACAGCTGATGATTGTTTAGATGTGGGAAATGAAGGGAGATGAACAGTCAAGGGTGACTCTAGTTCTGATAACTCAGGAGGAGGAACAGATTTGGGAAGAAATTTTATTTTATTTTTGAGGAAATGAGTAAAAACTGTTCAGTAGTTTGTGTGTGTGTGTGTGTGTGAGAGAGAGAGAGAGAGAGAGAGAGAGAGAGAGAAAGGAGAGAGAGAGAGAGCACACTTTAAGACTAGGCTTTAGATATCAATTTGGGGAATTTAAACCATGGTAGTAAAGGAAATTTTAGAGAATTTGAAGGGATGCCAATATTCAAGTTGTAGGTAGAGACCAAGGAAACAGTAATCAGAGAGATGGCAGGAATAACTGTAGAATGTAGAGTAGTGGAGGCTAAGGGAAGAAAGTTCATGACAATGACAGTTCCTGTTAACTGGACCAAGAACAGGAAGGCCAAATTTTGTCCATTGAATTTCATGATATGGCATTTATTCATGATCTTGGCAAGAATAATTTCTAAATCACATGGCTATAACTTCTCTTTCCTCATTAATTATTGTTATTTCTTTCACTGCTAATGATCAAACACAGTGCCTCATGCATGCTAGGCAAGCACTCTACCACTGAGCTATACTCATAGGCCTGAAATAGTTCAACATTTTTTTTCTTTTTTTTTTTTTTTTAGTACTAGGGATTGAACCCAGCTCTTGTACATGCTAGTCAAGTGCTCTGCCACTGAGTTATGTCCCCCATTATTTTTCCTTAACTTTTAATACTTCCTTCCCCAATCTCATCCTCCGTTAGTAGCAGAACTTCCTATTTCACTGGGAAATAGAACAACGCAGAATGGAATTCACAAGCTCCCACCACGTTCTTCTCCCATCTAACTGCCTCTGTGCTCCTAGACTCTACTGTGTACCCTGTTGCTATGGATAAATTGCTCCACATATGAATCAACACTTGCCTATTCAAAGAGATCTGACAGTTCTTCTCTTTTCCCAAATCACTTCTTTTTCTTCTCCACTGCATCTTGTCAGCATACCAACATGCTATTTCTTCCATCATGAAAACAAACAAAAAGTTAAATAAATACACAAACAATTCAGTAAGTTAAATAGTAATAAAACTTCTCTTAAACTCATTTCTCTCTATCATTCCAGTTTTCTTTTTACAACTGAACATCTCAAAAGATGTTTCTAATTTCTAACACCTCGTAGCCAGTTTTAAGGATTTCCATCTACGTTGTTGCCAAACTAATAATCAGTTCTCAGATTTCCTCTTAGTCTGTCTGATCAGCAGCATTTTATTGCAATTGGTCATGGCTTCCTCCTTTAAAAACTGTCTTCATTTAACTCCCAGATATTACACTCTCTTTACTTTTATTGGCTACTCTTTTTCAACCTCCCATGATGGTTTTCCTTTATGAACTGAGCCTCCTAATAGTGGAGCAGACCAGGGCTCAACTGATGAACCTCTTTTCTTGTCACATTAACTCCATTATTAATTTTTTTCAGTCTCAGGGCTTTAAGTAAATCTTTATACTTATAAATAACCACATTTATGTCAACCTGGACTTTTTCTATGAACTCCAAACTCATTTGCCTAGTATTTCAAATTTCCCTTGAGTTTTAAGAGGCATCTTAAACTTTGAAATGTCCCAAACTGATTTACTGATTGTTCTCCTTCATACCTCCTCCTATCAGAGTCTTTTATATTTTGGTTGATGGTAACTGTGTCATTCTTGCCATACAGATCAGAAACTTTGAAGATAGCTTTTATTATCTTTATTTCCTATCCAATCTACAGGGAATTTCTGTTAACCTCTACCTTTAAAAGTTCTCAAATCTGACCACCTTTTATCACCTCCACTGATACCCTGTCAGTTGAAACCACCATGATCCTTTGCCCAAGAGTGTTCTGATTAAAAGGTGAGTTAGAGCTGGGTGTGGTTACACACTTTTGTATTACCAGAGACTTGGGAAGTTGAAGGAACAGTATTGTAAGTTGCGGACCATCCTTGACAACTTGATGAGACCCTGTCTCAAAAATTTTTAAAAAGGGCTGGGGATATAGCTCAGTTGTAAGTAGCCCTGGGTTTAAAAGTACTAAAAAGAAAGAAAGAAAGAAAAAGAAAAAAAGTAAGACGTCACTGTTAAAAATGTCACTGTTTTGCTCAAATATTCCAGTGCTTTACTTTTCACTCAGTATATGAGCTAAAATCTGTTCATTTGACTTGCAAGGTCTTATACAATCTCTCTTTCATTACTTCTCAGACTTAAAACTGCTCTTCCTCTTGGTCATAGCTGTATTTGTCTTCTCATTATTCTTCAATCACTCCATGTTCACTTTTACTTTATTTTTATAATGACTAATATGACTGGGACCCCCACCCTCTGAGACTTACTCATATATATTGTTCTGTCACCTTATTTGGGTATTGACTTCAGTGTCATCTTTTCAGAAAGAAGTTATTGGCCATCCAAGAAAACTTTAAAACTATCCCTTTCTCCCTGCAACCTACTTGTTGTGTTATTTTCCTTCATTGTATTTATTACCATTTAACTTACTGGATTTGAACTTATTATTTTACTTCATTTTGTCTCTTCAGTAGAGTACAGGATTTAAGAAGTCAATGATTTTTGTCGGTTTTGTTCAGTGTTAGATATTTAATACCTAAAATAATGCTTGGCACATAGATTTAGTAAAATGTTTGAAAGATAAAAAGGTTGTTTAATCTTAGCATGTTTAATTGGTTTGGTGACAGATCCAGTACAGGAAAAGGCTGTAAGTCTTAAAAGAAAGGGAATAAGTAGCAGAGCATCAAGATCTCTGAGGAGGTAGGAGTGTATGGGCTCCTTAGCACAAATGGAGGGTATATTTTGATGGATTCCTTCTGATGGGAGGATGCAGAGGAGGAAAAAAAGATGGGTAAGAATGCAAGTAAATTTGCAGATTTGGTGGTGACATGTTGAGATAATCAAAAGGTTTTACTTTCTCTATGGATGAGAGATGGTATCATATGTTAAGTAATGTGGTGATGGCAGTGGTCCTGGAAATTTCAGAAGAGTATAGAAAGGGAGAGAAGGCTGGAGAAAGGGAGGAAAGGCTGACTAGAGAAACAAATAGGATTGATAGGATTGACTGACAGTGTTGAGGGTCTAGCTAAGGAGTATAACCATGAATTTGTGGGAGCATCATTTTCTTTCTTTAAATGTTTTATTCTTTTTAGTTATACATGACAGTGTAATATATTTTGACATATCATACATACATGGAGTTTAACTTGCCATTCTTGTGGTTATACATAATATGGAGTTGTACTGGTTGTGTATGCACATATGAACATATGCCTGATTCATTCTACTGTCTTTCTTATTCCCATCCATACTCCCTTCCCTTCATCCCCCTTTGTCTAATCCAGTGAACTTCTAACCCCCACTCCTCAACACCCCCATTATTGTGAGTCAGCTTCTGCTTATTGGAGAGAACATTTGGCCTTTAGGTTTTGTTATTGGCTTGTTTCACTTAGCTTGATAGTAGTCTCCAGTTCCATCCATTTACTGACAAATGCCATAATTTCATTCTTCTGTATGGCTGAGTGTTGTGTATATGTACCATATTTTCTTTATCCATTCATATGTTGAAGGGCACCTAGGTTGGTTCCATAGATTAGCTATGAACTCTTATAAACATTGATGTGGTAGCATCATTTTCTTTTTTTTTTAGCATCATTTTCTATATAATGATTATTCTACGCAAAGCTTTTCTTTTCCAGGGCAGCAGAATGTTGGATAGAACAGATTCATAATGTCTGTTGCCATTATCAGAAATTATTCTTCATTTTGAAAAGTTGTTTTTTTTTTTCTTTTAGCTAGCTGTCTCTGTCTTTGTAGAATAGTATTGTTACCATAAAAGATGCCATTAAAATTGTGTCCTTAGTATGATACCCCACACACTGAACATACTTGTGAAGTACCTAATTTGATAGGTGAGTCTTTGTACGTTTCTAACTTGACCACATGTCTTACAAAAGCATGTAGGAAGAGCCATTATTTGTTGTATGAGTATTCTGTTCTGTAAATGGTTCTTGATGTCGTTTTACTTATTCAAGTTGCCATTTGGGTTAATTAAAAAATAATTCCGTAGAAGACTTAAACCTGGTATTTCTTTTTTTTTTAAGGGGCAAAGAGGCCTCGAGTCACATCTGGTGGTGTGTCAGAGTCTCCTGGTGGATTCTCTAAGCACGTTCATTCCAATTTGGACTTCTCTCCCGTAAGCAGTGCTTCTAGGTAAGACTGATAAAAGATTAAGTAGTTATTGAAGAATTCCTCATGAAGAATAATACATGTATATATGTATTTTTAAAATAATGAATATAATTTTGTCAGTGCAAGAATGGTTGATATAAGAAAAGCCTGGTGAGTTTTACTTAAAAGCATATATTTGGCTGGGCATGGTGGCATAAGCCTGTAGTCAGTCCTAGCTACTCCAGAGGTAGGAGGATAACAAGTTCAAGGCCAGCCTGGGCAACATGGCAAGACCCTATCTCAGAAAACTAACTAATTAAAAATTAAAGCTAGGCATGGTGGTGCACACCTGTAATCCCAGTGGCTCAGGAGGGTGAGGCTGAGGATCACAAGTTCAAAGCCAGCCTCAGCAACTTAGCAAGGTAGTAAGCAACCTAATGAGACCCTGTCTCAAAATAAAAAATAGAGGTCAGGTGGTGGAGAGTAGAAATTCAGTGGATTAGACAAAGGGAACGAAGGGAAGGGGGCTGGGGAATAAGAATAGGAATCCTAGACAATAGAATGGACCTGACATAACTTTCCTAGTACATATGAATACACTACAATGAATCTCCACATCATGTACAATCACAAGAGTGGGATCCTAATTAGAATAAGATATACTCCATGTTTGTATAAATATGTCAAAATATACCCTACTGCCATTATATCTAAAAAGAACAAATAAAATTTTAAAAAATAAATAAAAAGGGCTGGGGATGTTGCTCAGTGGTTAAGTGCCTCTGGATTTAATACCTGGTACCAAAAAGAATGGAGAAAAGAATAAAGTCATATACTTAAAAAAAAATTAAAGACATATTTTCCTTTCTCTTAATGTCTTAGTGAAGAAAATGTGAAGTATTCCAGTTCTCAACCAGAACCACGTACAGGGCTTTCCTTGTGGGACACCAGTCCCTCATACATTGATAAACTGGTACAAGGAATCAGTTTTTCCCAACCGGCATGTCCTGATCATATGCTTCTAAATAGTCAGTTACTTGGCACCCCAGGATCCTCACAGGTAAGGGAATTTCCTTTTTTAAGTAAATAATGGTTGTCCTTTATTTTTATTGTCTTGAAGTCTTTTAAAATGTGGAAATCTTAGATATATAGTAGTAATGCTTTTGATTTATACATAGTTTTTGGACAAGGAAGAAAGAATGAATTAGAGGACACCTTCATGGAAAAGAATTCTAAATCACAGAAAAAAAAAAAAAGCTATGTTGTGACTGCTTTTGGTCTTAGTGGGCTTACTCAGCTTTCTGTTTGGCACATAGAACCCTTGGCAACGCTTGGTCAAAAGAATGACACGATTCTTTACCAAACTGGATGCAGACAAATCTTATCAGTGCCTGAAAGAGACTTGTGAGAAACTGGGCTATCAATGGAAAAAGAGTTGTATGAATCAGGTATGTTGATTTTCATATATCTTTTCCTGCAGAAAATTCAATATGTGAATATAAACTCTCATCATTAGTATCTTCCAAAAATAGAAAGCAGTTTAATTTGAAAAAGAAAGAGTTGAAATTGGAGGAATTTTCAATAAAATGTTCATGATTTTAAGGAATAATATGTTTTTTTTTTTCAAATACCTCTCCAGGTTCATAAAAATATTAATGGACTGAAATAATTGTTTTCTTAAAGGCTATTATGCCTCAATTGTAGATAATCTCATATTTCTTCTCATCTCCCCTGATCCCACCTACCAATTTTTGTTGTGTGTGTTGTTATAGCATAATTATAACATTTACTTGTTAGTCTAGTCTATCATTAGGCTTTAAAAAACGTTAATATGACGAAAGACAAGTAGAGGGAGTTAATCTGTATTAACGGATACTAAAGAGACCTGATAACTAAATGCAAAGAATGCTCTTTCATTAGATCATAGATTTTAAAACAACTTTGAAGGATGTCATTGGAACTATAGGGAGAATTAGAATATGGACTTTATATTAATGTTTTTGTAGCATTGTCAAGTGGTGTGATGATATTGTTGTTTGTAAAATGTCCTTATTACAAGAGACACATGTTGATAGCAGCACAATTCACAATAGCAAGACTGTGGAACCAACCTAGATGCCCTTCAATAGATGAATGGATAAAAAAAATGTGGCATTTATACACAATGGAGTATTACTCTGCATTAAAAAATGACAAAATCATAGAATTTACAGGGAAATGGATGGCACTAGAGCAGATTATGCTAAGTGAAGCTAGCCAATCCCTAAAAAACAAATGCCAAATGTCTTCTTTGATATAAGGAGAGTAACTAAGAACAGAGTAGGATCGAAGAGCACGAGAAGAAGATTAACATTAAACAGGGATGAGAGGTGGGAGGGAAAGGGAGAGAGAAGGGAAATTGCATGGAAATGGAAGGTCCCTCAGAGTTATACAAAAGTACATACAAGAGGAAGTGAGGGGAAAGGGAAAAATAATACAAGGGGGACAAATGAATGTCAGTAGAGGGGGCAGAGAGAGAAGAGGGGAGGGGAGGGGAGGGGAGGGGGGATAGTAGAGGATAGGAAAGGCAGCAGAACACAACAGACACTAGTATGGCAATATGTAAATCAATGGATGTGTAACTGATGTAATTCTGCAATCTGTATATGGGGTAAAAATGGGAGCTCATAACCCACTTGAATCAAAGTGTGAAATATGATATATCAAGAACTATGTAATGTTTTGAACAGCCAACAATAAAAAATTAAAAAAAAAAAAAAAACAAGAGACACATGTTGAAGTAAGGTTGAAGTAATAACTTAAAAAAACTTAAGAAAGGCAAATAGCTATACAAAGACAATCAAACCCACACATACTTAGATAAGGCAAATGAAGGATATATAGTTATTTATCACACAAATGTTTCTTGTAATTTGGACTGGGCTTAGCTGGGCAAATCTGCCAATCTTGCATGGCCTTATTCATCTAGCTGTAGTCATTCAGTGGCTTTGCTGTGGCAATCAGTCTAAGATGTCCTCATCGTTATGTTTGTGTCTTGATATTGGTTGTTGGCAAGGAATTTCTTTTCATGTCACTCATCTAGGCCATTGGAACATTCTAAAAGGCTGAAAGTGGAAGTTGTAAGTCCTCTCCAGATCTTTGCCATCTTCTGATTTCTGCCCTAGCTTTTTAGCCACAAACCTAGCCTCTCCTTTTCTCTCTTACATTTTCATAATTTTGTTTTCTAATTGCATTTTTATTTTATTTCTTCTTTCAATTGTATTTGGGTAAAATGCTAAATTTCTTTTGTTGCCAAGAGTTACACAGATGTTTATAGTGTTTTTTGTTTTGTTTTGTTTTTGGTACTGGGGATTGAACTCAGGGGCACTCGACCACTGAGCTACATCCCCAGCCCTATTTTGTATTTTATTTAAAGACAGGGTCTCACTGAGTTGCTTAGTGCCTCAATTTTGCTGAGACTGGCTTTGAAGTTGCAATCTTCCTCCCTCAGCCTCCTGAGCCGCTGGGATTATAGGTGTGCACCACCATGCTTGGCCTTATAGGGTGTTTTGGCTTGGACACACATGCACATCTATGGGGAATTAGATTTTCACATATTTGATACTACTTGTTATGAAACTACCCTGTATGTTTTTATCATAGAAGTGTCACTGACATGAGCATTTGGTTTTTGTTTAATGGCTAATCTTATTTTTTTGCCTCAGGTTACTGTATCAACAACTGATAGGAGAAATAACAAACTGATCTTCAAAGTGAATTTGGTAGAAATGGATGAGAAGATATTGGTTGACTTCCGGCTTTCTAAGGTATTTTTGATATATTTCATTATAGTATTCTTTCTATGGAAATATTTCTATATGGAGATATATATATATTTTTTTTGGTGGGGGGTACCAGGAATTAAACTCAGGGGCACTTGACCATTGAGCCACATCCCCAGCCCTATTTTGTGTTTTATTTAGAGACAGGATCTCACTGAGTTGCTTAATGCCTTGCTTTTGCTGAGGCTGGCTTTGAATTTAACAATCCTCCTGCCTCAGCTTCCTTAGCTGCTGGGATTACAGGCTAAATGGATTTTTTAAAATGGCAATATTTATACAATAGTCTCCCCACTTGCACTTTTGCTTTCTGCAGTTTCAGTTTCTCTCTCTCTCTCTCTTTTTTTTTTCCTTGAGGTCACCCATACCCCAAAAATATTAAATGTAAAGTTCCAGAATTAAATAATTCGTATTTAAATTGAGCATAGTTCTGAGTAGCATGATGAAATCTTGCATTGTTCTACTCCATCCCACCTGGGATAAGAGTTAAGTATTCACCATAAAAACCTTAAGTATAGATTTTTATTCATGCCAAATACAGTACTTGTCTGTTACTCACTTATTATCTTTTCTAGTTATCACATTGATTTTCATAGTACTGCAGTGCTTATGTTCAAAGAATGCTTATTTTACTTAATAGTGGCCCAAAGTACAAGGGTAGTATGGTTATACTTGCTCTAGTTTATTACTAATTATATTAATCTCTTACTATGTCTTATTTACAGACTAAACTTTATCATAGGGATGTGTTTGCATATATACATACAGAAAGAAGAATGCACATGGTGGATATAGTATAGGGTTGCATACTCTCCATGGTTTCAGGGAGTCTTAGAATGTGTGGATAAAAGAGAACTGCTTATTTGGCATTTGTAAATATATGGTAACTTGCTTTGTTCATTCAGTATTATGAACTTAGTTAGATTTTCACATATTTGATACTACTTGTAACTACCCTGTATGTTTTTATCGTAGAAGTGTCACTGACATGAGCATATGGTTTTTGTTTAATAACTAATCTTATTTTTTTGCCTCAGGTTACTGTATTAATAACTTTTCATTATCTGTTCTTCCAAAACATGATTTTTTGTAATTGATATTTATTATAAAAGTTTTTTTGTTTTTGTAGAAATGTAGATTAATATGAAAATAAAAATAATCCCAAATTATGCTTCTTAGCAGTAATCACCCCTAATATTTTGAAGCATTGTTTTTTTGGTTTATGTTTAGTTTTTTAATATTATAATTAATAATAAATGTACATCATATAATAGATTCTTATTTGATTTAGTAATTCTGTGATTTTTTTTCTTATACATTGATTTTTTTATATATTGATTTTTTTTTTTCCTTTTGGTCACATTTCTGATTATTTCTATTTTTAAAGCTCTTGACATGTAATACCAAAATAGCATTTTTTTCTCTTTCCTGAGATATTGTTGTATGTAGCTCTGAAGAAGGTTGGGAGGGTGTAGTTCATATTTTTTTGTTTTTTTAAAGTTTTTAAAAAAAATATTTATTCTTTAGTTTTAGTTGGACACAATATCTTTAATTTATTTATTTATTATTATGTGTTGCTGAGGATCGAACCCAGGGCCTCGCCCGTGCTAGGTGAGCACTCAACCACTAAGCCACAACCCCAGCCCTAGTTCACATTTTTTTATATTGAACATTTGCTACAATACTGTCTTCCAGATCCTTGCTGTGAAATTTAAATTGTGTAGGATGTATTATACTGAAATCCTTCTCAGAGCTGAATCTGTTGACTTCATTGCCATAGAATAATGACAACACTTGACTGTCCTTGTGTAGTTTATTTCAAGTTTACCAATTCCCACTACCTTTGAAAACAGTGGTTCAGAGATAACTAACCTTTAATACAGGCCTGATGCATTTTCTTGCTCTCTGAGCTCAGTATGGTGGGAATAGTGAAGAGCACAAAATTGGGTCAAAATTATTTATATAGTCATTTCCTCTGCTAGAATATTTGGTTTTTATAAGAGCACCTGAAAAGTATTGTAGCTGGACATATCTGAGGGTGTTTGTTTCTATTTCCTAGTAAATAATCTTTTTTTTTTTTTTTTGACATTATTTTTATATATCATTCTTGCTATAGGGTGATGGTTTGGAGTTTAAGAGACACTTTCTGAAGATTAAAGGGAAGCTGAATGATGTTGTGAGCAGCCAGAAGGTTTGGCTTCCTGCCACATGATCGATCCATTATCTCTGGGGATTCCTGGTGAATATAGTGCTGCTATGTTGACATTATTCTTCCTAGAGAAGATTATCCTATTCTGCAAACTGCAAACAATAGTTCCTGAAGAGTTCTCTTCCCCTTTATCCAAACATCTTCCCATTCATTGTATGTTTTGCATACAAATAATAACTGTATCTTAATTGTCATAATTTGGGGAAAGGGATGGGTAGAATTCACTAGATATTTCTTTAGCAGTGTTTATTATCTGAATTTGAAATCCATCTGGTGAAAACCAAGTTTTGTGATACCTGACTTTATCAGCTCTTATACCAACATAATATTCTATTTTTACTAAAACATTTTGATACATCCCAAAGTGTACTGATTTAATTATAAGGATAAATTTGTAAAGACTAGCCCTTGTGACTTTTGGATACAAAAGTAGATTTATCAGTCTATGAGGTGGAAGCCAGCTTCAAAAAATGTGTCTCCAGATCTGTACTTATATTTTCAAAAGGGTCTCACCAGTTATTCAAACCTATTTTTGAGTTATAACAATTAATTAAAACTGCAAGTCTGTTTTTTTCTGGTGTAGCTAGTAACATATAAAATGCTAATTGGTCTTTCAAGAAGTTAAGCATAAACTGTAGTGCTTAACTAACTTTACTCAAAAATTAATGTTGCACATCTTAAGTATTTTCTATATTATTTTCTACTTTCACAGCCGTATTTTAATTCTTTACTATGGAAATAAATTCTATTTTGAAAATGAATATCTAACTCTGTGAACTTATTGGTGAGCCAGGCTTTTAGGTAATAAGGAATAGAAGGGGGAGGGAAGAGTATGGAAGCTATCAGAAATAGATCAGATTCCTGCTTTCTTTATCTGTTATATTTACTAAAACTTTATTTTTAAAATAAAATTTATATTAACTTCTGAATAAATGGGTTGGGGTCCTATATTGCTTTTTCTAGATAAATTAAAAAATTAATCAGTATCTCAGTCTGAAGAACATGTAAAGTTTTATGGTTAGAGTGTATCACATATTAGTATATACTGATATTGTGTTAATGGCAGCATACCCAGAGGAGGAATAAATTTGAACCTATTTTATTTATTTGAACCTATTTAAGAATTAAGCCAATACATTCTCAAGTATGGGAAAATTGCTGTTCTTGAGAATTTGCTGCCAGTCATTATTATCTGTTAAAAGTTTTCTTATTTTGAGTATCTTCATACAATATAGTTTATGCATGTTAATTAATATAGTTTCTGTTTTTGAATTTTATATGTGAAATTATGATGTATGTATTTTGTGTCTACTGATTTTCCTGATAGCCATACTCTTACATGTGTAGAATTAATTGATTTTAATTATTAGAGAAGATGCTTTTTAAAAACATTACTAATTATCCATTCTACTGCTAATGGACATTTGGATTATTTATTGTTTCATGCTATTATAAACAATCCTGCTGAGAACATTCTTACTCTATGTTTATGAGTTTCTATACTCTCTAGAGGTGTATACCTGGAAGTAGAATTGCTAGATCTTAGGATATATATATCTTCAATTTTAGTAGTGTAGTGGCAAACTATTTTCTAAAGTGATTGTATCAATTTACACTCTAATTTGAGAACACTTTATGTATTTGGAGATTGTGTTCTTAGGTTAGATGTTCATTATTCCTATTGTTTTTTTCTTTTTCTTCCTCTGTTTGTCAACTTGTGTTAACAAACATTTTCTCCCATTCTATCACTTATTATTCCACACTTCATGGAAGTTTATAATTTTGATGTAATCCTATTTAGACCTTTTCCATAGTTAATTATTATTTATTCCTAAAGGATTTATTCCCTACTCCAAGTCTGAGAAGACTTTCTGGTAGATTATCATCTAAAAGCTTTATAGTTTTTGACTTATTAAGATCTATAATCTGCTTGAAATAGGGTGCATTATTTGTTGAAGAACTTATCCTTTTCCCACTACTTCTCATTGATATCCACTCAGTGTTCAGATGCTCAAATTATTTTTTATAGTTTGTTTTGAATAAGGATATAAATAAAGTCCATGCTTTATTGATCTTTAAGTTGATTTTAGTTCATAAATTTCCTCTATATCCTCCAACACCCTTATTTTTTTCTCTTGCATTTTATTGATTAATCTTCCTTAGTCTAAATTCACTGATTACATTGCTTTGGTGGTTTCACACGTTTCCTCTACCTTCTGCATTTCCTTTAGCTACAGATATTCAAGATACTAGTATGAATTACCTACGTTTAAGTAGTTAAAGCCATAAATTTCCATCTAAGCGCTGTTTTCCTTCATGCCACAAATTACCTAATTCATATTTTTGTGATTTGTTTTATCCATGGGTTATTTAGAAATAATCATTATATTTCTGAATTTCCAGACCTCGTAGGAATTGTTTTTATTTTAAAATTGTTTTTATTGAGAGATACCTTACAAACCATAAAATCCACCCCTTGAAGTATATATGTAAGTGGTTTTGGGTTCATAAAGTTGTACGATCATAACCACTACCAAATTCCAAAATAATTCCATCATTCCAGAAAGAGATTCTATACTTGTAGCAGTCACCACTCATTTTTCCCTTCCTTGGTTCCTGGAAAATATTAATCTCCTTTCTGTTTCTATGGGTTTGCTTATTCTGGACATTTCATACATAAATAGAATTATATAGTATGTCTAGCTTCTTTCACTTGGTGTTTTCAAGGTTCATCTATGTTGTAGCATGTGTCATTACTCCTTTTTTTTCTCCCCATGTGACTGGAGATCTAACCTAGAGCCTCACACATGCTAAGCAAGTGCTACCATAGAGCTGCATCTCCAGCTCTTTTTGCTTTTAGAGATAGGGTCTTGCTAAGTTGCCCAGGATAGACTCAAACTTGTGATCTTCCTGCTTAGCTTCCTGAATAGTTGGGATTACATGTGCATACAATCTCAGTTCTCCCTTCTTATAGCTCAATAATATTTCACTGTGTATGTTTGTGTATATATGCACCCTACATTCTATGTATAATCATTTGAAGGACTTTGAGTTCTTTTTACTTTGGGCTATTATGAATAAAACTGCTGTGAACATTCTTGTACAAATTTTTATGTCTGTATGTTTTCAGTTCTTTTGGGTAGGTACCTAGGAGTAGAATTAATTGCTGTATGGTGATAGTTTTACAAATATTTTGTCATTGAGTTTTTAAAAATATTTTTTAGGGGGCTGGGGATATAGCTCAGTTGATAGAGTGCTTGCCTTGCATACACAAGGCCGTGGGTTCAATCTCCAGCACCACTATTAAAATATATATTTTAAGTTGTAGATGAACACAATACCTTTATAGTGGTGCTGGGATTGATCCCAGTGCCTCACATGTGCAAGGCAAGCACTGTACCACTGAGCTATAACTCCAGCCCCTTGTCATTGATTTTTACCTTAACTGTATTATGGTCACAGAATATTTTATATGGATTTAGTTGTCTGATAGTTGTTGATCTTGCATCATAGCTAAGAAAATAATGAATTTTTATAAATATTCTATATGTCTGCGCTTGAAAAAAAATTAGTGGGTACAGTTGTTTGGTGCAGAATTCTATATATGTCCATGTAATCAGACGAGTTAATCATATTCAAATATTCTAAATCTTTACTGCTTATTCAACTAAGCACTGAGAGAAATATGTTAAATTTCATTATGATTATGGGTTTGTGTATTTCTGTTAGTGGTTCTGTTAACTTTGCTTTATGTATTTTGGGATTACATTCTTAGGTTGCATATAGGTGCAAACTTGTGAAATCATTGTAGTGAATTAAAACACTTATTTACTTAGATTAGAAGTTACCTCTTTATAGAGACATGAATTCTTTTTGCCTTAAATATATTTATATGATGCTAAATATATTTATATGATACTAATCTAACCCCACATGCTTTCTTTTGGTTAATATTTGCATGGCATACTTTCCATCCTTTTAACTATTCTATATTATGGTAAAATGTACCTCTTTAAATTACTATATTTTAATTCAGTCTGAGACACTTTGACTTTTACCTGGAACCATCTATTCTGTCTATAATTAGTGTACTTATTATAGATTTATTTCTGTTAGTTATTTCAAAGTAACCATGTTACTTTGGTTTCACTTTTATTCTGTATTTTTTGGAGGGTCTTTGTTTTTTTGTCTGGATTGGTGTAAAGTTACTTATTCTTTTCTAGTTTGGAACTATATTCTCTTCTATGGAACCCACCTAGGGTGCCATTCAACAGATGAATAAAGAAAATGTGATATATATACATAATGGAGTATTACTCAGACATGAAGAATGACTTTATATGACATTTGCCATTAAAGGAATGGATCTGGAGATTATCATGCTAAATGAAATAAGCCAGTCCTAAAAAGACAAAGGTCGAATGTTTTCAATGATACGTGGAAGCTAACCTACAATAAAGGGACAAGGGGAAGAATAGATATTCAGTAGACTTGTTTAAGGGGAAGGAAGAGAAGGGAGCGGGGATATTAAAAGGAATGACAGTGGAGTGAATCTAAAATAATTTTCCTATGTACATATATGAATGTACCATAGTAAATCCCACCATTGTGTACATCTGTAAGAATGGTGTCCTAATTAGAATAAGATATATTCCATGCTTGTATGATTATATCAAAATGAATTCTTCTGTCATATATAATTAAAGAGAACCAATTAAAACAACAGTTGAGATAAAACATTTCCATCACTTACTACAAGGATCCCTCTGTTCTTTTATAGTCACACTTGCTTCCCTCCGGCTTTCTGGCAACCACTCATGTGTTCTGTTTCCATAAGCTTGTCCTTATAGAATGATATTAGTCTGTTCAGGCTGCTATAACAAAACTGTTCAGGCTGCTGTAACGTAAACTGAATGCCTTACAAACAACAATTTCTCATACCTCCGGAGGCTCAGAAACCCAAGGTCAAGGACCTGGCGGGTTGACTGTCTATAGAGAAGGCCTATTCCTCACAAATGGCACCTTCTCTGTCCTCACATGGTGGAAAGGCAAAGCAGCACCCTGCAGCTTATTTTATAAGGGCATTAATTACACTCAGGAGGGTTCTGACCCCTGACCTAATAACCTCCCCAAAGTTCTACTTTCCAGAACCATCACATTGGAGATCAGGTTTCAATATATGAATTTAGTGGGGCTGGGGTGCAGGGGAGGGGGTCCACATTCAGACTGTAGCAGTTACAGAATGGAATCATAGTGGTATTATAATCTTTTGGGACTGGTTTTTTTCACTTACTATAATTCTCTGGTGGTTCATCGAGTTGTTGGCATGTTGATGCATCACAGCTTAACCATTCATCTGTTGAAGGACATCTTGATTAGTTATACTTTTTGGCTATTAAAGCTGCTGTGAATATTTACAAGTTTTTGTGTGAAAATAATCTTGTTTCTCAGATAACTTCTGGATTATATAGTAGTGGCATATTTAGTTTTTGAAGAAACTGCCAAACTCTTTCAGACTGGCTATACCATTTTATATTTCCACCATTGATACATGAATAATCCAGTTTCTTCACATCTTCCCCAGCATTTGGTGGTGCTTTTTTTTTTAAGCTACTATCATATTTCATTGTGATTTTAATTTGCATTTCCCTAGTGGCTAATGATGTCAAATATCTTTTCATGTGCTCATTTGGAATCTGGGTATCTTCAGTGAAATATTTCTTCATATCCTTTGTTTCTATTTTTTGTTTGTTTTTAATACTAGGATTGAACCAAGAGTGCTCTACCACTGAGATACAATTTCCAGCTCTTTTTATTTTATTTTATTTTTTTGAG